CAAAACTGTTGAGTCTGCTGAACGCAACCAAATGGCTGCGTTCAGCAGAAAAAGCAGCTTTGCAACTGTTGTAAAATTTTTGAATATGATTGGTTTATACACTTAGATCCAATGAGGAACTAAGGGCAAGACCAATCATATTAAAGAAATTTACAACAGTTGCAAAGCTGCTTTTTCTGCTGAACATAGCCATTGCTTGAGCTTAATGACTCTTGCACACTGGACGCGGAAACGCTTGCCGCGCGGCAAAATGCGACGTGGTAACCAATGAACATGTTAGGAGCTGTAAGTTTATTGGCTAATGCGTCGTATTTTGCCGCGCGGTAAAGGCCATCACACGTACAAAAATTTTAGTCGTAATCGTAAGGCCGTAAGCAAATCGGCCAATCACAGTCGAGCGTTTTTAAACGCGAGATTGTAATTTTGATTGTGATTGGTCAATTTACTTACGACCTTACGATTACGACTCAAATTTTTGTACGTGATGGCCTTAAGCGTTTCCGCGTCCAGTGTGCAGAAGCCATAAGACTGGATTATGGATCCTTAGTTTCCATCGAGGGTTCGAACTTGTTTAGAATGTAAGAACCAACCAATTACAGTCGAGCATTCCCTTGTAATTCGACTGTATCAATAAAAATTTGCGGATAAAAGTCGGTGGAACGAATGTAAAATAGGTTAAACCAATCACAAACGTTCCGCCAATTCCGCATTGCGCATACGTTCCGCACCATAGGACCGCGCCATTACTAGAGGAATTCTACCTGGGTATAGACCAGTGTCCACGATGCTAGAAATCCGTCCGAGATCTCGGATGAAGAAAGAATTGACCAATCGCATTGATCATGTGACTAAATTGTTTAAATGTGATTGGTTAATTCTTTTTCTTTCCGAGATCTCGGACCAATTTCTAGCATCGTGAACACAAGGCTTATCAATCATGAAACTTTATCCCTAAAATGGAATGTGAAAAGTGAAAATTTTAACCATTGAAGTTAATGGAGAAATTTTTCACTTTTCACTTTTTATCCTAGGAAAAACGTTTCATGATCAATACCCTGAAATGTGCTACTATGCGCGCGCACGCTCGTTGCTTCATGGCGGGAACCGCATGTCACCGCATGTGGCGCACTACAGTGAGGTACGGCACGCGCCGGAAGCAAACGACTCCAATATGGCGAATGTGAGGGACAGTGATACATCGTTGTGGCTGCATAATAAGCTTGGTACATCAAACGATAGCTGGACCGGCAGCTCAATTTGTTCGCAACTCAATGCCGAGGTGTTGCGGAACATCAAGGATTGTTTTCCCGATCTGCAAACGCAGGTTAAGCTCAAGCTACTCCTGTCGTTTTTTCACATACCCAGACGTAATGTTGAAGAGGTAAGCGTTCTCCTCTATCTTAATATCTTCATACTCTTTCATTGAGTATTGCTTCCCCGAAATATACTTGCTCTCTAGAAAGGTGAAATTAATAGTGAATATTTCTAATAGGTATTCGCCTACTAATGGATTTAGAATTTTTTTTGTATTAATTTTTACTTTATTAAAATTTTATTATTTAAACTTGGTGACAGTGGCGTGCAGAACTGGAGGAGATTATTGAGGTTGCAGCTGTGGACAGTGAATTATGGGTATCAATGTTATCCGAAGCGATGAAAACTTTTCCATCGACTGGTTCTTTAAATACAGACATCACTGATCTGGATGAACATAGACCAATTTTTGGTGAATTAGTCAATGATTTACGGAAACTTCTGAAGAAACAGAATGATCCTGCTATGCTTCCCTTAGAGTGTCATTATCTCAATAAGACTGCATTGACTTCAGTAGTAGGTCAGCAACCTACGCCAGTCAAACATTTTACTCTCAAGAGGAAACCAAAAAGTGCAGCCTTAAGAGCTGAATTGCTTCAAAAAAGCACTGATGCCGCTAGTAATCTCAAAAAGAGCACAGCTCCTACTGTACCAGTAAGAAGCAGAGGAATGCCAAGAAAAATGACTGATACAAGTATGTGTAAATTTATAAATGTATATTACTTCTTTGCGTTATCTGTGCAATAGACTATTGTATATACTTTTTTTAGCACCTTTGAAAGGAATTCCAAGCAGAGTTCCAACGAGTGGTTTTCGGTCACCATCACTCACAAACACTTCTGTGTCTAATAGAACACCGATCAGCAGAATTCGAAAAGATGGTGGTATTAAATTACTGGATATTACTGAGCAGCCTATGGGATTTGTAGCAAAGAAGAGGAAAAAGATGATGGATTTCGAGGAGCAACAAAAAAAAGCTGTGGAAGCACAATCGACTGCTGTGGTAGAAAAGAATTCAGCATCTCCATCGGTTGTAGAAACTACAACTCCGGAGTATGCGCAAGGATTGGCCTCTATAAATCCGCCTGCTACGCCTGTTACACCAACTGTAGTAGTTACAACGCAATCCTATACCGCACCTAGCACGCCAAGCAGTATTTCAGTTACAACTACGCAGCAAACACGTAAGACTAGTTGCAGTTATTAAAAAGATCATGTTATTTTGTTCAGATTTTGATTAAGCATTTTGTATTACGCAGCTACTACGTTAACTACTACCACCACTACAACACCCACTACTGTATTAGCAGTGACTGCACCAACGGTGATAACACCTGTGGAAAGCACGCCAATTGCTGTACAAACTGTCAGACCAGCTCAGACAGTTACGCAAATTCGTATACAGACTACCACGACTAATGCGGCAACTAATCCAAGAAAAGGCCTATCTCTTACGGTAAGGTTAATGATTTAATTGCATGCATTTAATTATATGTAAATATTGGATACTCACTGCTTATTGTTATCGGATTACAGCGAGAACAAATGTTAGAAGCACAAGAAATGTTTAGAACTGCAAATAAAGTAACGCGTCCAGAAAAAGCTCTTATTTTAGGTTTTATGGCTGGTTCGAGGGGTATGTCTATCTCTCACATGTATTTTTTCTCTTTTGTAAATTACAATTAATAATATTATCAATTATTTCGCTTGTAGATAATCCTTGTCCGAAATTGGGCAATATAGTCACAGTGATGCTTTCGGAGAATGTAGAAGAAGTAACACAGTCTGACGGAACAACTGTTCCGATGTTGGTTGAAACTCATTTCCAAATGAATTACACGAATGGCGAATGGAAGAGGATAAAGAAAAATCGACGTATCGTGACGGAGGAATCTACATCAACATCCACTCCTGCACCAAACGCGACCGCCACGGCTTCCAATTGAAAGAATTTGTTCAAATCGCTATAATATAGAATTTATATGTATATGAAATATCGTTTTGTGGTTATTAGAGAATAACAAACATTGTGATCATACGTCTCCTTAGTAAATTGACAAAGACGTTACTAAATTAAACAATAATTCAATTCATATAAAATCTGATAAGAATCGTTGAATTATCGACTTTAAATTGTTGAATTTTTATCCCTCTATAACTTTATCGCTTTCTCACATCAACTATATAAGTTATAAGTCTTGATAATTTTCATATTTAGGCTTCAGTTAAATGAAAATTCATCCAAGTGTGCTTCTGGAGTATCTGCTTATTCTTTTAACATACATTTATATATATATATACATATATATATATGTATATAAGAAATATATATAATTTATAATACATATTATTTGATAGAAATAATATACAATGTGAATAGTCAAATGTTTGTTTATAATACTACTATTAAAAATCTATATATCATATACACAGATATGAATTTATACATATATATATTTTAATAAGAATGAATATAAGACTTCTATAATATTGTTATTTGAATAAACATGATTACATTTCTGTTTTGTGTGTGTTGCTTATGGACATATTTTTTTGCAATTTGCTATTGATTATATTCATTAGTTGTATTATACTTTTTAAACATTTTGCACGTATAAAAATGATAATTTAAAAAATTTAATTTTCAATAATTTTTCAAATGGATACAAGGAACAATATTTTAATAAGAGCTGCCGACTCTTGCTTTTTTAATTTCGTAATTTTACGTTTATAAAATTAAAAGATTTTATTATTATTTTTACGAGATTATAATATTGTAAATATTTATTATTAATAAATTTCCTATTATATTTTGCATATGATTTAAATTAAATTCATAGAATTTATATTAAGTTACACAACATATATTCATATGCTAGAGAGGAACTCTATAGAAACCCTCAAAACTGCATACATGCGCACAATACACTGGCTATCTTTAGCGTTTTCGATTGGGAAAAAGTTAGTGCGCACTCAGTTCACACCAACACTGGTGTTCACGAGTTCCATGGGTTGCACTGAATAGTGCAAGTTCAAAAGAACACGCCAAAATTTTCAGTGCTAAAGCTAAAGTGCCATTTCGAGTTGTAAGATTGTAAGGACTTGACTAGACTGCAGGAAGAACGCAGAAAAATAATCTCGACATCTTATGTTCATAACTTTAAATTTTTATATATATATTATAATATTTAATATATATATTATACATAAAAAAAAAATGTACGTACTCTTATCAATAATTGTACACATTTGCATGCTATAAATTACAGATTTGCCTGTTCTACTGTATATCATTTTATACTGTGACAAAACGATGCACAGATATATACATATATATATCCAGTGCACTAAACCAGCACCGTCAAAATATCTCGTGCACTGAGTGTGCACTACGCGAGTGTCGTGCGGTCAAATGAACACGTGAGACCGGAATCAGATTAGGCATTGAAGATTGAGATTGAAGATTGAAAGATTGAAATTTGACCAATCGAAACAATAGGAGCTAAAATTCCTTTGCCCTCATTGGTCAAATTTCAATCTTCAATCTTCGATCTCAATCTTCAATGCCTAGTCTGATTCCGGCCAAAGGGATTTTAGCTTCTCTTTGTTTTGATTGGTCAAATTTCAATCTTTCAATCTTCAATCTCAATCTTCAATGCATAGTCTGATTCCGGCTTTAAGAAGTGTTTCATAACCTTTTTATTTCGGTTCTACCGGTTGCGATATTCGCGTGTCGCTGAGGATTGACGAAACTTCTTGCGTTTAGTTTACGGTTCTACGATTCTGCGAGTTTTACGAACAACTGTACAGCGAATTTAGGGTGTATCTGTTCTCACAATGTTTCGATTACTTGCTTCGCTGCGCGCACAAAGTGGAACGCTGGTAAGTGCTACGGAACTCCTGTCATACGTTTCGATTAAGCTCTAACATTTTGCCGACTCATTGCATGCAAGTGTGTGGTTAATTCTGCACTGCATTAACGTATCGATACAAACAAAAGTACTATTATTGTTTCTTCAATCCATGATGGGTTTCTTCCACCATGCTTCAATCCGTTTATTCAATCTTTATGTTTGTAGATTGCCACTGCAACTAGTTCGCTGGTGAGAACTGACAACACATTGTTGGCAAAAGGTGTCCGTAATTTAACAGTGAGTTCAAAATTATTCAGCGATGGGCCGCAAATCCAGAAACCTGCTCCGGAATTCTCTGGTACTGCGGTAGTTAAAGGTGACTTCAAGGAAATTAAATTGAGCGACTACAAAGGGAAATACGTTGTTTTGTTTTTCTACCCGTTAGATTTGTATGTAATTTTATCCCGATTATCATATCTAATGTAAGTCGAGTATAATATTTAATTTTTATATTTTATTTGCAGTACGTTTGTTTGTCCGACGGAGATAATTGCATTTAGCGAAAAGGTCTCAGAATTTAAAGCCTTGAATACACAAGTGATCGGAGTGTCTACAGATTCGCACTTTAGTCACTTGGCATGGATTAATACTCCAAGGAAGCAAGGTGGCCTTGGAGGAGATTTAGGCTATCCTCTTTTGAGTGATTTCAATAAGACCATATCAACCAAATATAACGTTTTGTTGCAAGATTCAGGAATTGCTCTCAGAGGTCTTTTCATCATAGACAAGGAGGGAGTTCTTCGACAGTTTTGCATCAATGATCTTCCAGTTGGCAGAAGCGTCGAAGAGACGTTGAGATTGATCAAAGCTTTCCAGTTTGTTGAGAAGCATGGTGAAGTATGTCCTGCAAATTGGCAGCCAGATGCCAAAACCATTAAACCAAATCCAAAAGATAGCAAACAATATTTTGAATCAGTTAATTAAGCATGCATTTAGGGGTTTTGTTCAGGGGATATATATAACATAATAGAATTATTATGTAATATAATATAGTTAATAGATAATAACTTAATAAAATATAATTCTATTACAATAAGATTAATTTTATAATATAATGTCATTTATATGCCTCTTTCACATGTACATTAATATACTATACTTATTTGTGTGATTTTATATAAAATCTTAAGAGTGGATAATAAGATAAATGTGTGAGTACATGCCTGCGTACTTGACCGATATAGATAAATTTAATACAAAGCGAAAAAAGGTTGTTGGTTAATCTGATTTTTTCTGGAAAATTGGATGACATGGAATGTTTTGCGTCTCGAATTTTTTTCTCATTTCTCATCACAGTTAATAAATATACGGGACATAAATATATATATTTATGCTCAGAAAACCGATATTATAATCTTTATACAGATTGACATACATTAGCAACTTTTTTTATTTATAGAAGTATACGAATGTGTAATTTAAAATTATTAGAAAATATTTATGTTTTAATTAAATATGAGTAGATAGGTCAAAAAACATCTTTTCTTATTTTATATATTTTATATATATGTTTTAATTTTTCTTTAATAAAAGTATAAAATATTAAATGCATTCAGTAAATAGTCATTTAACAATCATTTAATTCAAAAATGTGATAACGCAGTATATGAGTAATTAGCGTTGGCTGCTAAAATTATTTGAAAACATGAGAGAAGGAGAGAGGAAGAGGATGTATGAATACATATATAATATATTATATATATATGTGTGTGTATGTATATATACACATTAATAGATGTGTGTGCGGACTGTGGATACCTTAAGATAATTAGAATGCGTGCAACGTAAGGCAGCTGACGGAATTAAAAGCCGTTACAATATCAGTAGATAGGTAAGCTGGCGCGCGTTGTTGGCGGAGGCTGCTTCTAAAAGCTGCTCATAATAAATTTAGTAGAGTGAGCTTATTATTTCGCGAAGAGAGAGAATATACCTGCGTCGGAGCATCACGGAGTCTCGGGAAACGCCTCCGAGAAAGGAGGATAAAGTAACCAAAGAGAGAGAGGGGGGGGGAAAGATGAGATGAGATGAAAGCCGTGGTTCTTGGGAAAGCGATGAGCCTAGAATGCGTCGCGAGAACGCCGGGAGATCGTAAGAGGGAGAAAAACCGAAAAGCGACGCCTGAGATAAACGGCTCATCCTTCGTTCCTCCCTACAAAAAAAAGCGCGCATGAAAATCTCAAGACTAATCACATTCGCGTCTCACGGCACCGCCGTGTGTCAACAAGTCGTATGTCGCAGCAGTGCGGCCTTGTTATCAAAATATAAAATAGTAAGAAGAGTGTATCGGGAAGAATGAGACTTCTTATATTCATATTTGTCTGTATTATTTTTGGAGAATATTCTCATGTAGGCAATTAAATTTTAACAGAAATGTTAAAACCTAAAGAGTAAAAATGAATGTAATTTTATATTCTCTACATGTCTTTTTGTATTGTGTAATTTGCGTTGTAGAAAACAATTGATTTGTGAAGCACATATTTCTTTATGATTTTATTAGTATTTATTTCAAAAGCATATTTCAAATCATAAGCAATATTATTTCACTGAAATAACTCGCTTTGTATTCCAGTAGTCGCGGTACAAGATTGCAAACGTAATCGTTCAATTCACTATTATATTTTGTCGATTAAGTGGTCAGATTATATCGGCATTGTATTGCTGAGTCTAATCGAGGGATTTCTTGTCCATCGCCCTCGGTTTATGGTCCTTCCATTGTGGGACAATTGAGCGCGTAACAGTAAGGTTTCGGGTTCTAATTGTGCTGACGACAGTACTTTAAATGTTCTTAGTAAGCACTACACAAATTTTTATTTTGATTAAAAATTATTATCCCGCGATGATTGTTAATCCTATTACTAGATCCAATTGGTTTGCTCCTAAGAAGGCCTCTCTCGCAATAAAATTATTAAACTTTCCAGATAACATTTATGTTGTATAAGAGATATCTAATTTTAGATATCTTACGCAACATGCATGTTATATGAGTTGTAAAAAAAAATAAAGTCCACTTATGCTCTCAATTCAGACTTACGCATGTTTACGCTAATGTTATTATACTAATAATATTATATCGTTTCCGTCGATTTCTTTTACCTCGAAAGAATCCGTATTGCCGACACGTTGGGCATGTCTTTAGCATTTTAAGCATGATAGAGAACCTGCGTCGTTTGAATATAACTCATCCCAAATTCTCCGCCTCTCTCGCTTCTCTGCCTCTTGAAGACGCCTAATAACCTTCCTACGCGACTGCTCGCGAAAGGAACATTTTCTTAAAGGAGCATTCAGGGCGCGCCTTGATGACGGCTATAGGTGGATATTATAGTAGCGGGGCTTACCCTTGGTGGTTTGCTACTTCCAGGAGGGAGTAAGATGAGTAAAGGAGGAGCGCGCGCGGAACTCGTACGGGGTACAAGAGTTCGAGGCGAGGAGACACGACGAAAAGGGAGGAAGAACGGGTAGCGGGATCTCTCTCAGAGGGGAACGCACGGAAGGGTGACAGAAGGGTGGAGCGCGGGAAGGGAACAGGGGGCCGGAGGCGTGCATCCATCCATATCCATCCCGGGGTGGCTACCGGGACTTTGATTACTTGTTTTAATCTTCCGACTGCCGACTGGGCGAGCATCTGTCACTCAAAATCCGTAATTGCGCGCGGAAGCCGCCCCTTCTCTCGCCCGCGCCAGTCCATCGAGAGCCACGGTTCTGCCTCCCTGCGTATTGCTATTACTTCCAATATTTCCTTATTGGTGTCGTTTAGCACTCTCGTTCAACCGCGAATCGCACCGATCACGCGGGCTGTGCTCTGGTAATCACGACGCTGCCTGTCGTCAGTCAGGTCGAATTTAAAGCTGGGGGCTTTCCGATTTGGTACTGAAATCTTTTAGTCGAACAATCCTTGCTTGTAATGCTTAGCGATAAAAACGCCCGTTTTTTTTCTCCAGAGCACCTCGCGTTGTTCTGATTGTTCTATGTGCTTGTCATGCTTAAATAATATTTATTTTCATAATTCACTCTAGAAGAAAATTAGAAATGTGGAAACATTTGCGCAAACTATGATAATATATTTTGTAAAAGGACAAAAATTTTTACTTATTCTTTCTTTTGTACTCCGCTCATTTAAGGCTTGCCATTGAGGCGATTTGAAAAGATAAGAAAAAAAGCATTTGCCGACCCTTGATTTGAATACAAACAAACAGTTACACTCTCGCTACGTGGTATTGAATAGTTAAGGGGGGGGATGAGTATTAAACGAACAAACCCCTTAGCGTGTCCGTCCCCGACAATATATCACCTCGTATATATATAATACACGGCACCGCTGGTTGCTCATCAGTTTGATGAAAAGATATTTCCGACACGCCATCGCGTTATGCAAATACTTTAATTGTAGGAAATTCTATGAGCAGACCAATTATGTCTGACTGTGCACTAACGTTAATCCTCGACCGCTACAATGGCGGGGATCAAATATAATCTTTGTGATATTGTCGAACATTTCATCGTTTTTCATTTCATAATTTTTAATTAAAAATTTAATTAAAATTAAAAAGTATAACGTTTTAATAAGACGTTTTTAAAAAGTATAACGTTCTTTAACGAGATAGTCTTTTGTATTTGCAATATTGTCTATATACGTTTCGTTCATTAACTTTCATTATAATTCTGAAAAAATTAATGTTTTTTTCCACTTTAAACGGATGATTAATTTTTTTTCGTTTAAAAATAGAGTTGATAATAATTTTTAAATTCTTTAATAAAGTATTGTTCAATCGTATTCACTTTATTAGATCTTCTTTTATTTGTTCGCGCCACATGCTTAAATTTACTCGGATTCCTCAGGATTAATCTGCAGCCTCTATTATATCTTTAAATACATCCTTGCAGATATATTAGACGTCCACGTAATCTTGACGATCCTAATCATTCTAAGCGAGAAATAAGACGCAGGTCGAGCGGCGCATGTAGTCTTTCGACAGGATTTCTGCTGCTGCTCCTCTAATTGTCGAAGTCATTCGTCCTCTTCAAAAGGAACAGATGCACCAGACTGTATTGAAGAACGAGTCTATCAGGGACCCAGGGGGTCCCCGGTGCTCGTCTCTTGGGGTTATTTTCAGTCGATTATCCCCAGAACGCCAGGGTCAACGTTGTGCTTTAGAAAGTGAAAGCGCAAGAGAGCAGACGAGTCTATTAGCGCGGAGAAAGGCCGCGCATTTGCGTATATACGTCAGTCTCTTTTCATGAATTAATTTCAATGCTATGGAAATATTACGCAGACCATCCTCTGCAGTTCCCTTCGCTCTCTTTTGTTCTCGCCATATACGTAATCTTTTTTTCCCATATTTCGTAAAGCTATATCATGCTCTGTTAAATCTACAGTGTTAATTTTAATTTAATTTAAGTCGTCACTGCTCCTACTCAATATATCATTATTTTATACTAAAACAATGGATAAATTTGACACTACATAGTCATTTTAGTGTAAATGTGTAAAATAACGATATATTGAATAGGAGCAGTAGTAACTTAAATTAGATTAAAATTGATACTGTAGAGGATTTAACAGTGTGTGCATGTAATTTTACACAAATGCAATTTATATAAATTCACAATACCTGATACGAGAGATAATAAAGAAGCAGTTTCAAAGAAAATTTTAAAACAATACGTGAAAAAGAGGAGTAAATAGTGAAATGTTGAACCAGATATCAAGGATCTTGATGCGTGCTCGGGGATCATCGCGCAGGGATCGCTACGCTATAACGTTTCATGTAGCACGTCGTTAGGAATATTCAAAAGGCTGCTACTTCAATTAAGAGACTCGGTTTAGCACGAAAGAAAGAACCGCATATCGCATGTGCGCGGTGGAAGCAGTACGGTTGTATTTTATCTCACGTTTAATCACCATTGCTGACCCCAACCCTGACGACGCTCCTAAGCTGCAGTAATTAC